GATGGCGCATGTATTCGCCTTGCGCTTTGTCATCCCCCGATCACCCAAGTTGTGTGTTTAGTGTCTTTTTAGTTTTTAGTTTTAGTGTCTTTTTAGTTTTAGTTTTCTGTATTTCACGACCGGAGTGATCCGATAAATGCCCCCTGAGAAGCGTAGGGAAGTCTGCGTTGAAGTGTGTGTGTGCTAGCACTCGTATTTTACCTTGGATTCTATCTGGCATTAGATGTGCAGCCTGTTGGTGAACAAAAAAAAAACAACAAAGAGCTGGCTCGACGTCCAAATGCCCAGTACCGCAACAGCACAGCGAACTGGCAAGCCGGGCACGCCATCCTGCTCCGGACAATCAGGCTCCACCGACCACGAGGCCGCCCACAGTAGTCTTAGTGCCCCGCCCGCCTTCGCACAGTTTGGGAGTGGACATCGCACAGTCTGCAGCTGGCTGCCGCTGACAGCGGACAATGAGCCTATCGCTGACAGCGGACAATGCGCCCGGCCATCCCTGAGCGGCCCGTCTCACCCCCCCCCCCTCTCCGCCCCCCCCCCGCACCTCCTGCAAACGACCTTCAGTGCAGGGGCGGGAGGGGAGAGGGGGGGGGGGGGGCCGGAGAGCAGCTGCGGAGACACCGCCGCTGGAGCCGGAGGGAGCGGGCACCGCCGTCCGGAGGACGCCTCGGCAGACCGATGTCGGAGCATCCCCGCGCGATAGCTCTGATAGCCCCCGCCCATTGTGTCCTTTCACGACCCGTTTTCGCACGATAAGAGATCTCTGGCGTCACTGGGCTGAGAACAATGGCGGGCCGGAGGCTGTCCTGGCGATTCGGACAACCCATTCGAGCCGGCCTCTAATTGGAAATCGAGACGCTGATCTGTAACGAAAACGTTAATGGCCGACACACGAGCGGCCGTGCCGAATACCAGTGACGTCATCGGCCCGTCCACGGCAGCGTCAAGGACTCCATTCATGAGGATCTGTGTCGCCAGCGCATTGTCTCGCCGTTTGGCTGACACGTTGAGTCCCCACACGGCCTTGCAATGCCTCTGCTACAACGCTGGACTGGTGTTGGGCGTATGCAATGAGCATGACTTGCGGAGATGTAATCTGATAACGTATGTTGGGGGACATGCGGGCACAAATGGTGAAACCTTCCCCAAAAAGCACAACGACAGGCTTCTCCACGAATTTAACCTACTCTTCTCTTCATGTTGGGTGGGATGGGGCCTCACCCCAAAAATGATGAGACATTACATCCCCGATGACTTGTTGATGGACATCATGGACGTTTATCATTGTGTCCTAGCCGTTTCGGATTAGTTCCGTCGAAATCTGAACCGTTTCGGCCAACAATGGCCATTTCAGGGCACTGGAACGAAGGACGGGGTGAGTGGTGAGGTGCGACTGCGGCCATTTCGGAGTCATCAGCTACCAAGGCATATGCTCGAGCAAGATATCTTCTCTGGGAGGGGGGCGCTCTGGCGGGGCGCTCCATGCGTCACTAAGCCGCTCATAGCTGATGCGGTTGTTCCCCCGGCAGGGACGGGCCGTTGGGAAGATTTAGGATGAAACAGCGAGTGAGCGAAGAAGGGGTAATGTATTATGGCTGGCTTGGCGTTGTACATCTCTGAAATTGTCGTTACTTCGAAGGTTAGCCATTTACCAAGTTTGTTTCGGACCTCCTCATGTGCGCTTAGATTCCCACATGCGTCACAATGCCCTGTATACATGATCTTGTTTCCCAGGCCTAGGAAAGGACGGCATGTAAGCTAGGTACATTTCCCCCCAGTTTCACTAAAAGACACGCCATGGCACGTGTCTCCTCCAGTACGTACCTAGCCGGCACCCAGAGTTGCCAGAAGCCGCGCCTGGCCTGGGCGGTACATGAGCCGTGATGTTTACTCTCGTTTACGCCCAGCCCTCCCCGAACAGAGGACGGAATTTGTCCCGCACGATCTCATGCCACCCATCCAGCTTTCCGAGGTGACTCGACGCTGACACCTCGCTTCGCAGAGACGGCAAACGGCGGCGCGTGGCGCGCGGCCGCGCCGGCATTGTGCGGGCTCTCGGCCGTGAGATCAGATAGCATTCAGGGCTTGTGCCGGTTCTCGTTAGTTCCGCTCGGCGCCGACAGGTGGCGACACGGCGCTGACGTGTTCGCCGTGCACCGCCGGGTATTGTTCGTGTCCACGTCCACCCCGCCGCTCGTGTCGGGAATAGCCAGCTATTGTTTCAGATTCCGTCGACATGGGTCCGCAATTGCAATCGGCAAATAAAAACAACGTTTAATAGCGTTGTGTCTGGGCCGCCTGTTTTGGGCCGGCTGTAACCGTTTCGTAATTGTTTTACGCCAGTTCTGATCCTATTGTCAGGAATTATGAGACCATATTCGCTGTTTGAAGCATATGACAAAACCGTTCCGATGCAAAGTATATTTCAGCTTATTAAACCTCTTTTTGGGCGGTTATTTATCCCAGATGAACCGATGGGTCGGATCTCCTTCCGTAATTTACAGTGATACTTAAATACATGAGCATGGAAGGCATCTCTCAAGATTGCCCTAATATTCTGACGCACAATTCCCGTGGGGAGAGCCGGCAAGGTCATAACTCAGGGCATTTGAGAGCTTCAGCACGCTAGTATATGCGTCGATATGTCATGCGTAGCACTTGCATTCTGCTGAAATATCGCATTGGGTTCGATTCAGCTGATATTGGCGTAATTTTGGGAAGTTATGGTGGGATACTTCGTCTGACCAATGTTCCTGCGATAGGATTTTTCATGATGTATAGCAGCCATCTGGACCACAAGGGTATTCAGTATTATTTTGCATTGGACCTTGGAGTCCTTCGTTCAGGAATAGCTCGTGTCAAAAATGATGCACGCTCCGATGTGCAGAAGCCGCTCGCAGAAATCCATCACCATGAATGGCACAAACCTCTAGGTCTGTATCCAGGTCTCAATAAAACGTTTGGACTAGCAACGGCTAGGTGCAACACAAAGCACTAGAACACGAATTTAAAATTGAATATACAAGCAATCCTGCGGTGCAGTCAATGTACTTGCATAGCCGCATTGCAGCGTTGCCAACGGTGCGCAGGGAAGGCATGTCATGGTATCTCTTTCCGTTTGTTTCAGTGCTGTGCCAGCAGCAGCGGTTCCGGGTGCGACCGTCCAACGTCAGCGTGGTGGAGGGAGACAGCGCCATCTTGCGCTGTGAGGTGCACCACCAGGTCGGCCAGCTGCAGTGGGCCAAGGACGGGTTCGCCCTCGGTAAGCATTTCGCTCAAATTGAGCGGAAAATTAGGCCTCCACCCCGGCATGGGGTTATATATGTATATATATATATATATATATATATATATATATATATATAAGTTACGACTCGGTCATAACGTAGGAGAACCTTTGGGAACGAGTCCAGTGACCGCACTTTATTCCATTCACGCTCTACCAAATCTATTTACCGTTGTGGCTTCGGAAGTGACCATGAGCCTGTTCGCATGATGCTGTGGTGACCCCGTGTGATGCCATCCAATGCCATTGCCATGCCATGCCGTGACGCCTTTGCCATGAGAGATTTTCAAGCGGAGCTTATTAAGCGAGGTTGCCGTTGCCTTGTTTCTCATCTCCCCGGTCACGGGGCCATTGCTCTCAGCTGAAGTGCCCTTTGACCTAGCGATTGATATGTGCCCTGCGATTGACGTTGCCCTGCAGACCCAAAAACGGGATTTTTCCAGAGGTTTGTGTCGGCTTTTCTACTGCCAGTTCAAAAACAGCGCCGTTTCAGTGTAAATACTAATTTGGTGTAGTTACACATGCACGTGTTAAATTAATCATGTTAGGTACACTGATGTAGAAATATATGAACCCTGCAAAATCAATGCGGCGTTAGCTGCAGAATTAGGAAAGGTGAGATTTTTACAAAAAAGCTTTCCCCCACCATTTAGCAGCGCATTTCAGCATGTGCCGCTCACCGCTACCATATGTGAGTTTGGTTACCCTCGGTTTGTTGCAGCTGGCCCACCAATGTTAGCCTCATCGGCATATCAGTGATGTACTGGGCCCTACAGAGTAGCTAACGGCCGCTAGAAATCCCTCAGGCGCTTGCATTATTATACAATCACCGGTGCCACCGTATCTTAGGACACGACCAGATTTGGAACGTTAACTTGTGGCGAGGCGTGGCCCGAGGCGTCTCGTGAAGGGACCAACACCGACTCGGAGATCGAGGGGCCTCACACTGTGGTAACGATTTTGTGTGGCGGGTGTTCTGCTGACCTGACCTGACCTGTCTGGAGCGGGCTGTGATGCTCGGCTGGCGATTTCAAATCCATGCGTCTCCAGGAATGTTTATCGGTGGGCATACGCCTCCGGGAAACTCCCATCAATGTTGTTTTGGTACGCACACGCCGGAAAGAAGATCTTTAGCAACTCGGCCAGATGAGATGCAAAAGTTACTTTGTATTTAAAAAGCAGTCAGGTGACCTCCTGGAAGGAAAGACCATGGAAAAATGACGCATTTTAAAAGGCAGTCGCGCCACGTGGGGTGAAAGGTGACTTCACTTCCTACGAGGGGGAGATCGCTTCAAATCCAGAGAAGGGCGGTCCTATCCCGAGGGCTGGAACCGCAACATCGCGTTACGCGGAACCGGCAGTCCGTGATCCAGACCAGCGCTGAGTGTGATGGACATGTTTCAAGTCAATCTGCGGGGAATCCGATGGCATTTGGCTTCAGCATCGTTCTCTCCTTCTTCACAGCTTTTCCAACTATGTAGCACTGGGTTGATATTATGGAGTGGAGCGCGTGATGTCCAAAGCCACGCGATACAGCTTAGCGCGTTGATGCACAGGTTGCTGCGCGTGCATAAACGCCACATACCCTGAGGTGTTTTCGCTTCCGCCATACGCCTAAAGTCATCGTATGCGCATACTAATAAGCAGGTGCATGGCCAGGGTTACGGCCACCAGCGCGTGACATGGGATATGCGGTGATATGGGATGCGGTAGTGGATAGTGAGCACACCATGGATAGTGGAAAGTCACATCGCGTCGCATCGCATCGCATCGCATCACGCACATCACATCATCACACACACACTCAGTTGCCGAGGCCACACAGCGTCGCCTGCCTCTCACCCTGGCAGGAAGGGCGCGCACCGCGGAGAATCGAACCCCGTACCTCTCGCTTTCCAGACGTACGGCTTAACCACTACACTTGCGGTGCACTGCACAGAAGCGTTCCGGCACCAGTCGTAGTGCAAATACCAATTGAACTGTCATCCCGTGTGTCAGCTCCTCACTGTCAAGCGAGACGTCGCGTAATTCACCCGCTGAGTCAAACTTCCCTCTTCCAGGTTATTCGCGCTCCCTTCCTGGGTACTCAAGATACCGCATGCTGGGCGACCCGGGGTCAGGAGTGCATGACCTCGAGGTCACCAACGTGAGCCTGGACGATGACGGCCGGTTCCAGTGCCAGGTCTCACCGAACAGGGGGCAGGCGGCCATCAGGGCTGACGCTCTGCTCACCGTACTCGGTAAGTGCTCTGTGAGCCGGCGCGCATGCGGTGGTCGCTCTTGCAAGTTACAGGAAGTTGGGCTGCCGAAAAGTTTCAAGTATGTTTTTCGCAGAAAACGCTAATTAAAAACAGCTATTCGTTTGCAGGAAATGACGGAAAACTGACAATAAACACGTTCATTATTGCTTTTGGCACAAAGCTTTTGTCGAAAGCACTGAATAAAAGTATCGACACCGTTCAATCACTACTCAGAGCCCATGTTAAGACCGTAATTGGCAAAAGTATTGCCGCACTAGCGGCGAAATCCTGTTTCTAGTGCTGTAACGATAGCATTCAGGACAGTATATTGCAAATTTTCCCTAATGAACTGAACTCAAAACAAAATTTGTGATGGCCCCATTCTTTTTAATATGTTATTTTTTACTCTACGTGGGCATTTTGTTGGGATGTTGATTGCCCTATGTGATCATTCACATTTGTAACGGGCGAAGGCGCTTTATCGCGCTGCTTCAGCAGGCATTGATGTTTTCATTACTGAAAATACTTTCAGAGCCTAAGGAGTGCGAAAAAAATGAAATGCTGAATATGATGGTCATGTTAGTGTAAGAGGGGCTCCTCTATCACTAGCCCACTCATACTGTTTCAATGATATCATCTGGAACGTATTCGGCCGTCTCTCAACACATTCAGTAAATCCTGAGAACTCCAAATTTACAGCATGGGATAGCCGTCACGTACACCAGTGAAATGCATGCATGCCAGCCCGCCATATAAATAGGTACGTAATCGATCTTCGAGCGCAGAAGGAATCCCCGGAATAACTTGCTCTGAGATATCCAGCGTCGTGAATCTTCCACGAAGCCATCAGCCCTTGCTTAAACCTAACCAGAGCATTTGTTGGCATGAATTTGAGTCCGGCAATCACCGTACGCGGGCGACATCTCCATCCTTACGGGGCCGGCCATCCGTTCTCCGGTCAATGTGGAGGCCGGCAATTTGGCTCGGGGATGACTATTCCGCACCACTCGATCTGAATAGCACCCGTGGCTCGGTCGGGCCGGTCGGCGACCCCGGACTGACAGCTGATTGACCAGACTGCCGGATGAGACCAAGTGGACGCTCAGGCTCACACGCTCCAAGACTTGGACGCGGGCTGTGGGGCAGTCGATTTGTTTGCGGTAATGTTCGAATCCTTGCTGGTTCCGCTTTTTCAGGCGCCTTGGTTGGCGTTCCATGCGCACGGGGCAGTATGCTTCTGCTCTCTCGATATCTTTATGACTTGGATTCCCCATGACGGAGCTGTTTTCTGGACGGATTGGACTGTGTTCTTGAACAGAACTGAAACCTATGCGCTTAAGCTCCCCGATCAGCCGGCTTTTGGCAAAATATGCGGAACACTTTATCTCAGGTCTCCAGCAGGCTTCGTCACCTGGGATTACTTGTTCTCAGGCCACTAAGATACCGAACATTTCGGGCCGCTGACATACTGGACGTCTCAGGCCACTGACATACCGGATGTGGATGAATCCATTTTCCAGACCCTTGAGACTCCAGTTTCGACCGCGCCACGGCTCGGGCAGGCGTACATGTCCTCTGGGTCCGTCTGACCCGTCCTCTGCGTCCTTCTGACCCATCTCTGGGTTCGTCTGCCCCGTCCTCCGGGTTCGTCTGACCCGTTCACCAGGTCCGTCTGACCCGTCCTCTGGGTCCGCTTGACCCGTCCTCCGGGTTCGTCTGACCCGTCCTCCTGGTCCGTCTGACCCGTCCTCTGGGTCCGTCTGACCCGTCCCCTGGGTCCGTCTGACCCGTCCTCCTGGTCCGTCTGACCCGTCCTCCTGGTCCGTCTGACCCGTCCCCTGGGTCCGTCTGACCCGTCCTCCTGGTCCGTCTGACCCGTCCTCCTGGTCCGTCTGACCCGTCCTCCTGGTCCGTCTGACCCGTCCTCCTGGTCCGTCTGACCCGTCCTCTGGGCCCGTCTCGCACGTTCTCTGTGGCCGGCCAGTCCGCATTCTTCGCCTAATGTAGACCAGAAGACGTGCCGACTAATGCTTTTATACGGACCCCAATCGCCCGGGTGTAATTGGAAGGCGTATCGTAACGGTAGGGACATCATTAATATCGCCTCTAATTTCTCAGCCCGACGTAGTACGTTCTGGCCCCTGCGGTCCTGCCGTAACCAGCAGAGGGCGATACAGCAGCGAGAGAACGGTGTTTGGCGCTGTTGGATGACCCAGTGAGATCGGGGGCGGTAAAACCGGTCCGTGCCAACGCTGGCTGGGCGCCTCGCTAACTCTTCCACTCAGGGGAGTAGAGGTCGAGCAGATTAGGGGCATTGCGTGACAGCGGTGTCAGTCGTGACACACGCAAAGTGGTTAGCCGATTTTTGATCGTATTTTACCTAATATATGTCTGGACATTGGGCGGTTGTAGTGCCTCGTGATTCACTTTGCTGCGGGGCAGCTGTACATTGTATGCAACTTTCAGGGATTACGTTGAGTAGGCAATGATGCCGTTATGCGCGGATTTAATTTGAAAGAAAGCGTTTCATGGCGGGCCGAATATTGATATCTGGCCATTAAGTATATGAAACTGGGAATAAAACTGCCACAACTGTATTGGTCTGCTCAGATCCTGACGCATGGCACTCAATTTTACATTAACGGCCTTTGCGGGCGGCACTATGGACGCACTCATCAGGAAAACAAGAAACCATCCACTAGCTAAAACGCCACTCGCGGCACGTGGTTTGGGACACCTGCGATGCGTAATGCCCGTAACAAACACGTCCCAGAGCTGCAGCGGGTCTGGGTCAGATCAGCAGCTGGGGCACGCGGGGTACATTCAGGCTGGGTCCTGTTGGGTTTCCGCTCCAGGCCACCAAGACTGAAGCTCCCCTCATCTTCCGCGAGCGTCGGCCGGGTCTCGCGGGGCCTTTCCAGCTAAGGAGCCAACGCAACATCATTTTTCTATCTCCAGCCCGGAAAACAGTCATATTCTCAATGGTTGGCCGGAACGAAAATCGTTCGTGGAGGGTCTGGCAGCAGTCTGATCTTTTTCGAGTGAACTCGCAGCTGTAATCTGAGCCAGGCTCGCGCTGTTTTTTTTCTTTCAAACCTTTCAAAACCAAGCTATTTGTTGCCTGAAGGTCGATAAACGCATGGTGAAAACGTGTAAAGAGAATATGGTGATGCAAACGTATAGCAACCACCAAGTCCAATCAGGGGAGTTGCCAAAGGGAGTGGATGCAGAGTTTCTTGCCCGCGTGAAGCTTTGTGTTGTTTTATTGGCGCCAACGAAGATCGCATTATTTTCAGTGTCCTGCCACCGAAATAAACGGTCAAGCCTCCACCTCGTCCTTTCACTGAGCAGCAGTTTGTCCCACTCCCAAGCATTGCCTGGCGCCTCCTGGTGCGAAGTCTTGGCGATGCCTTTGTCAACGGTCACACCTGAGCTTCACAGCTAATCTTGACCTATAGTTGACGTAAAATATTAGTCACCTATGCTCCAGCGTGTAACCAGCAATACCGCCCCATTTCAGTGAAGCCGAAGTCTGTTCGAGCCAGTTCCACTGCACGCTCCCCCAGGGCAGGGCTGTATGAGGTCAGGGAGGGCAGTCAGCTGACGCTGAAATGTGACGTCACTGGAGCACGGCCAGCTGCCAGCATTCGGTGGCAAAGGAATGGTGTCGACATAGAACTAGGTAAGAACAGCAGCACTGCGCCGCACGAAAGGGACAGGGAAAGGCGGTGGGGCGGGGACAAATGTCTCGCTCCAGTTTTACGCTGTTCAACATGGCGGCTCCTTGGTTGCAGTAAAAAACCGCCTCAAAACCGTGACTGTCCACTGTTAATTACCAGGTAACCTTTCGCTCATGTCGAAACCCTTGACTGCAACTTGTGAGCAATTGCAAATGAACGTCCCGGTGCAGGCGTTACTGCCGAGATTGCATAATGCTAATAGAAGAACCACTTTCCACGTGAGAGCAGGTGGGCGCACTCCGACTTAGATCAATGTACTTCACCGGCACGCTCAAGTACATCGAGCAAAGCCGTCGTACGCACAACGTTACCTGCTATTCAGAAGATCATTTGCCGATCGTGCGAACGAATGAATTAAGTATCGATTGCCTAGCACACGAATTGGCTGGAACATCAGATTAGATCTAAATCCAATGACGAGGTTCTAGCACAACCATACTCAGTGGCCAATACAGTTGTCCAACGCTCACAGGACAAGAGGACTCGTTCTCCGGCTGGGGCAGTCCCCGCCGTAACGACACGACCTCGGTGGTGACACTGCAGCCCACTGCTGCCGATGATGGTGCCGGCTACTCGTGTGTGGCCAAACACCCGGCCATCCGACCGGCCGAGCAGCGCCAGCTCAACTCGACCGTGCGACTTTCCGTCCTCTGTGAGTGTGCGGGAGCGGTTGCGAATTCAAACACCGGTGCAGAGCGGCGTGTACTTAACAGCGCTAATGAACATCTCTGAAATGGACTGAACCGGGCTTTAGTCGTCTGCAAGTGAAGCTGCCTTAGGAGACTTGCACAGCTGTGTAATTCTCGGGAGGTCTATCTACATATCGAGCTCAGTGTAGCAAAAGCAAGCCAGCACTGCCCCGATGATCCTTCAGTTTTTGTTGTTTTTTTTTTTGGCTTAACGGGCTCGTGAGAATCTGTCGTCATGAACCGTTTCATTTTTTGCCATCTCATCTTGATCGGCGACGTGTGTCTGGTGTCTGATACACGCTGATGCAGACATGGCGTCCAGTTTCCTTCGGACCCCTACTTTACAAAGCCCCCGCCGCACCGTTCCCCTGCAGACCCCCCGGGAGCTCCAACAATCGAAGGTCACTCAGAGGGCGAGTGGGTCAGGATCGGCGAGCAGAAGACGCTGACGTGTGTCTCGCGCGGCGGCAACCCCCCGGCCGAGATCGTCTGGTACAAGGACGACCAGCCAGTCACCTTCAAGTATCGCACGCTCGGCGGCCGCGCCATGGCGCAGCTGTCCTTCACCGTCGAGGCGGCTGATCTGGACGTCATCTACCGTTGCCAAGCCAGCTCCAGCATGCACCCGGCGCCCATGGTGGCGCTGGCCCAGATGAACGTGCAATGTGAGCCTCTCCATCACCGGACCTGCAGCTTGAGACGTTGCTAGTAGATATAAAAAACTGTGGGGTAGATCTGCGGTTCATTGCGGATGTGGAGCTGGAAAGGGCGGAGGGGAATGTACTCTCAATCAACGCGGCCTGATTCAAATCATGGTTTGTTGTATGCTGATATGGTCAAAGTTCTCCACATATTTGCCACCATGGCCATCATCTAACTATGGTCAACATCACACTTTTTATTGATGTATTAGATGGGCGGCTTCTTTTAAACATGCGATCAAGACAGCAGTTCGATTATTGTCGTGTCGGCAATGACTGACAACGCAATGCTGTTCTGACCAAATGATCCTGATGTCTTTTCAGTCGGTCCGGAGAGGGTGACAGTGTCCGGCACGAGCGAGGCGAAAGGCGGAGATATGGTGCACATGACCTGTGTGACCTCTGGCAGTAACCCTCCGGCAAACATTACCTGGGTCATCAACGGCAGGACAATGATGAATGTGAGCGACTATATCCACGTAGAAACATGATCTGTAGCAGTAGGCCTCCATAAAACATTACCTGGGTCATCAACGGCAGGAAAATGATGACTGTGAGCGACGATATTCCACAGGGACGATAGTCCACAGGGAAACATCATGCTGATGCTATAGACTTTGGCAGCTTAAACTATTGGCTGGAATTGTTTTTCATTCAGCAACAAAACCATGCGTTATTCATAGCACTTGTCATTTTATGAAGTAAACCTGTAATCAGGTTCCTCCTATTTAATACCAAGCGTTGATCCAGTTCAAGAAACAGCGTCATCACGGGCTTCGGCCTGTTTCAGACCAGCCAGTCGAGGCAACCCCATCCGAGCGGCGGCTGGGTGGCCACCTCAAACATCTCCACCACCGTCCCTCCCGGCATGGAGAAGAACATGGACATCTTGTGCTACGCTCTCAATCCCAAGCTGGGCACGACGAAAGTTGGATCCACGGAAGTCACCGTCCTGCGTAAGTGCTGCACTGTCGCGTCTTCCGTACCCCTCACTGCTGCTCTTTGCCTGTTTCACGCTTTATTTCGCAAAAAAAACAAAACATTTCGGTGTCTGTCTGGAGCGGTCTGAGCTCACCTTTGACAAAGTTTATGACAGCAGTGATGAATACATTGCTTGACATAATGTGATAGTGGCTCATTTATGTCTAGAATAGCTCATCACATGAGAGGAATATCAGAAGCATAGCTTCCTCTGATGCATAGGTAAGCTGAGGTAACTGTGAAATTTCAACATCACCCGTCAACCCTCTCCTTTTCCAGACCCTCCGAAGCCGCCGAGCATCCTCGGCTACGAGCCGGGCACGTACCTGCGGGCTGGGGAGCGGGTGTCGCTCTCATGCGTCTCCCAGGGCGGCAACCCGCCGGCCACCCTGACCTGGTACAGCGGCGACGTCGAGCGGCCGTCGCCGACCACCGTCGAGGACAACGTGGCCCGGAGCGTCATCACGTTTGAGGTGGACCACAAGGACAACGGCAGGGTGTACAAGTGCGACAGCCAAAACTCGGCGGGCAGCGGCGTACAGTCTGCCGGCATCACCCTGAACGTGTATTGTGAGTGCCCCCATCACTGTTCTTAGTTTTCCCGGCCTTACTTTCATCCGTTCTGATTTTAAAACAACCGAGCACACCTTAAAATGCATACCGCAAGCACGCGCCAGTTCTGATCTGTGAAGACTCAGACATTGTGCGGTGGATAATAAGAAAAACAAACCAATGTATATTTGCCTTCGAGATGCGCCGTAAGCTTCCTCTTGGGCAGGAAACAGTGAGGCGTCGTGCGCTCCGAATTGCCGGTTAGTTTTCTTGACTACCATCAACATAACAGCTGTGTCAAAGTTAACAGTTCAGCTATCTTCCTAATTTCACTACGGTGGCTATCAAGGTTGACGTATCTCCCACCAGTTCCAACGAGCAGCCTGAAGCTGGAGGTTCGTCCGGAGCGTCTGAGGGCGGGCAGTCAGGCGATCCTGACCTGTGAGTCCCGACCCTCCTACCCGGCCGCTGATCTCACCTGGTGGCGGGACAACGCCCAGGTCACCGATGGAGTCACGGCGCTAGAAACGTTCCCGGCCGGAAGCCATGGCGGGTACGTCTTCACCATCGTTTTCGACGGTTGTGTGATTGGCACGACCACAAGCGCCAAGTTTTCAAACGTTGCAAACTCCTGTTGCTTTAACCGCTCGGCGCATTTTATTGCGCACACGCTCAACGCTGTGTGCTGTTGCGCACACAACAATTTGTTGACTGGTGTTCCGGCTTAGACGACTTTCTCTCCTCCACTTTGTTCGAACGTCAGTTGTGTCGCTCCTTTGGCAGCTCGTCCAGCCGGGTGCAGTTGCGGAAGAACCTGACGTGGTCCGACGACGGCGCCGTCTACCAATGCCGAGCCGCCGTCACTGTACTCTCCGGCAGACTACAAGAGGAGATCACGCTTGAAGTGACATGTGAGCCCGTTTGCCGCGTTGACTTCTGAACATCACTGCGATGTTCACGGCCGGAATTACGGTGATAGGACGGCAAGCGATGTGTCACAGAACGCTACAGTTTTAAAAAGGATGGAATAATAAATGGTTTGTCGACACCATGAACCATGCCGTTAGGTGGCCTCAAAAGTGATGTGCTGATGTGAGTTGCGTCTGAAATAAATTATTGGGTAATGCTGAAAATCCGCTATGGCACCTTAATGTGGGAATGTATCAACTTCGTTTGCCTTGCAGACGCACCAACGTTTTTCAAGAGCCTGTATACCGAAGACATACGGGTGGGCGAATCCCGTCTGATCAACCTCACAGCTAGAGCCAATCCTGGCGACACCACGTACCGCTGGTACCGTGTGTCGCCAATAGATGCCGCTAGGATCATGCCTGAAGGGCCACTGCTCAACATATCGAAGGTGGTGAAGAAGGATGCCGGGTGGTATTACCTCGAAGCCGCCAACGCAGAGGGAAACACCAGTGTCCGCGTCAACATCAACGTACAATGTGAGTATTACGTAATAAACTCGCTGCCTTGTGGTTGGTGGTCCAGTGAGTTGACAGATGACCTTTGGTAACCAGATAATTACACCTCCCCAATATGGCCGACACCCTTTTCTATGTCAAAGATTCGGCAGCACACGTCTTCAACTAACCTTTAGCAGAGACCCTTTAACGCCTGACGTGGCTGACGTGGCTGACGTTATGCCCAGCGGCCAACATGGCTGTCCGTGATTGAACTCGACCCTCCCACACGGAAGCCGAATGTTCTCTCCATTGAGCCATGCCGTTACCAATGCATGCTTAACCAAACGTGGTCGGATCACATATGCTGATTCCGAACGTCTCCGAACGAAACTTGAATGCAAAAATAAGTTTATATATATATATATATATATATATATATATATATATATACCGCATATCCCTTTAGATACCTTCGGAATGGGGCAGCTGTGGTGCTGAACTGAGCCATCCTTGTCATCATCTGACCCCGCACCCCCAATGAATGTGGAAGATAAAGAAATCCTGCTCCAATAAAATGCAGAACATTTTCCTTAAAGACTGGTGCAATAGATACCTAACGACATCAGTATTACTGTCTGTTCATGTGTACCGCATTGTATCTGTAGGGAATGGGGAACTTGTTTGTGTTTGTTTTCATTTGTATTACTTTGTGTCATTCTAACTGTTTTCTGTGATGCCCCAGTCTACGAATATTGACAGATTTTTATCCAGATAACACCTGCGTGGGTAAACTGAGATGGTTTGTGCGCACTACAGATGAGATGGTTTGTGCAGCGTTCTCACAACGCTGCAGGTTTGCGTGTGGTGGAAATAATAATTCATTCTTCCGTAAAGAAAGCTTTTATCGAATAAACTCTTTAAAAAGAACAACCGTCCTTGGCATAAGAAGCACATGTTAGTGACCGAATTCTTGAGCGAAATCAGGTCTTAGAGGTAGTTTAGGCCAACACTATGGGCTGCAAACCAACCGATTTTACAAAGTGGCACACACACACACACACACACACGCGTGCGTGCGTTCACACGCACACATAGGCAAGCAGGCTTGCGCGCACACGCGCCCGCACGCACACACGCTCGCACGTGCATACGAGCAAACGCACACACACACGCACAGACACACGCACACACACATATATTTATGCATGCATGCATGGTGTTGGTAGTTACAGATAGTCTCTTGCATCTGTACCCTCCAACACAGGGTATCCTGATTGCAGACGCTCCGGAGATTTTGTCCGTCTCGGAGGTATCACTGGTCTCTCCGGGAGACGACGGCGTCCTGGAGTGTGCGGCAGACGCGAACCCCAGCACGGCCGACATGATCACCTGGCACCGGGCCGGCTTCAACTTGAGCTCCAACAGGTCCAAGATGTTCTACAGCAACGGCACCTCGTACCTCACGCTCTACAACGTCACCAAGGAGGATATTGGCGAGTTCCAGTGTCGGGCCAACAACGCCATCGGAGAGGCCTCCACCATAGCAAGGCTGCTTGTCAAGCGTAAGTTTGGCAGTTAAATTATCTGCCGGCGTTTTTGTTCCGCATGGAGAGGGGATCGTCGTTAGCTGTTGTTTTGGAATGTACAATACGTATATTTTTCACATTTGTACGAAAATCAAATTTTGCATGCATGCTCATAAACATACAATGTACCTAGCATATGCATATGCATCACATTATAGCGAGACATAAACGTTACACTACCCCTACGTTATACGTTATATGGAGTGTACCACGGGTATACAAACATTGTGAATACACATTAAAAGTTATCAGCTTCTCCATGCAAAAAACCGCATGTTTTCACGAGAAATGCGGGCAACTACATTGCACGTAAGTGTGCTCTCCCTACGCTAAATATGCCTTTCAAACGACGAGGGCCTCGCACACATGTGACCCGCTGAGATGAACTTTGGTTGCTGACGAGTCGCTGATGGCGTTGCAGACGCGCCAGAGATGGACACGAGTCCCCAGTTCCGGGCAGCGGCTGCCGCGCCGGGTGGCACCGCCCACTTGACGTGCCGTGCCCGAGGCGCCCCGAACGTCACGTTCGAGTGGCGCAGGGACGACTCTGCCGTCACGCCCTCCGCCAACAGCGACAAGTACCGGATGCGATACTCCCAGGTGAGGGGTGGGGCTTCGTGCCTGTGTGCTGTCTTGGTGGGATGCGACCATGGCGGAACGAGGGCAGTGGGCGTTTCATCAGAGTAAGACGGGCGTACTGCAGACGACTCCTGACATTCATGCTGCGCTTAGTTATTGTGAGGGGTTTGACGTAAATGGTGGTGCGTAGAATACGACGTCCGGACACTCCACGCTCATTTAGCGAATTATGCGCTCTGGCTGCGGTTTTATACAGGGTCGTTATTACGAAAACGGCGTGGTAACACGCGCACACACACTTGGCAACACAGTCCATTGCTCAAGACACAACACGGTTGAGCTCCGTAAAAACGTGTTTTTGACCTCGTATGCTCTTCTTAGGTTGATCTGGTGACCTGGCAGTCGGTGCTCGAGATCAAGGACGTGCAGGCCTCGGACTACGCCACGTACGGGTGTGTGGCTCACAATGAGCTCAGCTCCAGACGTCAGGAGCTGGTGCTGGGCCGTCCCAGCTCCCCTGACCCGCCGACGGGGCTGAAGGTGGTCAACGTGTCCCACGACACGGCCACACTCTCCTGGTCTGCAGGATTCGATGGAGGAATGCCGCAGGTGAGAGACGATTGTTATCTGGTCTAAAGATACCCACTAACCCCATGAGCAAGAACCTAGATTGACTGCATATTCTTGCCCCTTAGAGTGCGCGTTGAACTTAGGTTCAGGTGTATGGTGATGGGAAGCAACACTACCTTTTATGTCCTTGAATATCAAGATTCAAAGGCATGCAGCATATGTAGGTTAACCTATGAAGGCAACATCAGTTGAGCTTGACAACGTCATAACACTTAACAAAGAGTTCCCAACGATTATTATCCCGGAAATCGCACACAGACGCAAATGCGTGCACTTATGAACCCGCGACGTCGCCCGCAGATGTATACCGTGCGCTACAAAACATCGAGTGGTGGTGAATTCCTCTACGACGACGTCCAGCCAGAGAACACCACGCTTTTCACCGTGAGGGATCTCCTACCCAGCACTGATTATAGCTTTGCCGTCATGGCATACAACGAACTCGGACAGAGTGGCTACTCAAACACGGCCGCTACCACGAAAACGACTGGTGAGAAAAGGCTCCAAAAGTTGTCTACATTGACCATGTTTGAAAGCGTCGTCAATCGCTGTTAAGTTCACAGGTTTATGACTACCTGACGATTCGTTGCTGGCTTAGGCTAAACTGAAATGCGCTTTGGACCGCGAGCAACGGCAAGCTTTTTTCTGCACGTAAATAATCGTTGCGCCGCCTCATGAACAAAGCTGCACCTGTCTCCTCAGCTTCTTCCACACTTCCCAGCGCTTCTTTTTTACTCAGCTTTTTTGCGTATCAGTATATTTTCGGTTTGCTTTCTCGTTTTCGCGTTTCACTCTCCTTTACCGTGGCGTTCTACTCGCTACCGCTCTGCCCGCTCTAACCGTTTTCTCGGTTTCTTTCCTTTGTGCAAGCAATTGCATTTCATTTGGCTTCTGTTCTATGCGAGGCTTAATGCCTCATGGGGTGGTGGCACTGTTGCGAGCTGTCTCCTTGTGATATTTCCTGGTGGAGGTGTCTTAACACGCACGCCCCATAACTCGCCCAGGCACTCCCCCGGTCGGCTTACGTCACTGACCGGGACGACCTCACTAAGACGACCTTCCCCCGGCTCACCATCATCATTGCCACTGTGGTCGGAGCCTTCCTGCTGCTGTTCAACATTGTTTTCATCGGCTGCTACTGCAAACGTCGCCAAAAGAGTCATAAAACCGGTGAGTGGTGTCATGACCTCTGTAATATCTCAGGTGACCCTGACACCGCCGAGCTGGTGGTCCTCGAGGAGGGTCGGCTGCCCTGGATCGTCATCATCGTGGTCTCTTCTGTGGGAGGGCTCCTGCTTCTTCTGAACGTCGTGCTTGTCGTGTTCTTCATACGACGACGAATGCAGAGAGCAAAGCAGAAAGTCGTGGAGTCAGCTTGTGAGTTTAAGTTCTTTAGCAGCTATGTTCTGCGTTACTCTCTTTTCGACGAACATAACACAAACATGAAGGGTGATGAAACCCGACGTCTGCTTTCATTCTCAGTTTCCACATTCCGATAAGTTTCAACGAGTTTAGAAACAACCTGTTTTTTTCTTTGCATTTGTGTGCTGAGTAGAATATCCCAGAGCACAGCCTAATGCACCCAAAGCTGGTAGCGAATCGCTCGTGCTCTCCGCGCTTTTGACCCAGCTGTTGTTGCTTCCAGCGGCCAGCGAGGCGAGCACCAAGTCCGAGACACTTCACATGTACGGCAACGAGACCGTCAGCTCCGTGTCGGTGAAGAGCGGCGAGAGCTACACCCGCGAGGACAGCGTGGAGGACTATGACGTAAGCCACGATGAGGACTCCTCCCGTGCTTGCCTTAATGCTCAATGCATTCTGAGGTGGCACACAGTGAAGATCAGGGGCCCCGTTGATAGTCGACGTTTCGTTGACTGCCCTCTGATGGTCGACGTTTCGACACGAAATCCAAACATGATGCATGCGTAGGCGCCGTTTCACTTTCAATACTCATAATGTGATGGCTTCTCTCAGATATTCATCAAAGGAGCTTCTCTCAGTGATAACGGCAACTTTATCGCTGGCCCGGTCATGCTGCAGTGCACTCTCACCCATGGCATCCTCAACTCATAGCATGTGAAGCTGTTACTTGGAACTCGCGCGACGACCGCCCAGAAAGAAAACAAACACGTATTTCGAGCGCGACACCCAACGATCCAGTATTTCTTGCTACGTCCCTCACCCGCACCGAACCGGCCCTTGCGTGGGCACCTGCGGCGGATCTTAGGATCGGCTTAGGATCACCAGCGCGCGTTCGTCCGTAGGATGACGGCAGCAAGCGGCGGTACGACGCGTACCTGCGGGACGCGCCGATCGAGCCACCAGCCGAGTACACCAACCACGTGCGGCCGGCATCGCGCGCCGACTTCGACCCGGACCAGTACGCCGATGCGCTCCGGCGAAACTCGTACGCCTGCACCATAGGTCAGTGCTACAGGAGGGGTGATTCGTAACGCTGCTGCGGTTAAGGAGTGGCTTGGCTCGTGTTAGATTTCGGCGGGTTCGTATGCTATTTCTAGTGTACCCGCCACCGCCTACATGGATAAGGATGTTGCATGGCATGCTTATCAACCCCAAAGGGCGCTTCAGTGCTTACGTATCATTACTGTTAAGCGAAAGGCATTTTTGGGGCGTAAGGTGCTCACATGTTGACATAATCTGGAATCAATGAGATGGCCGTACTTTAACTTTAAGCATCGATCTTTCTCCAGGGTCTGGCGTGGAGCCGATGAGTAACCAGTTCAGCAACTACACGACCCAGCCGCCACGCGCTCCCCACTTCCGCTCGCCCCAGTTTAACACGCCCACGCCCGACCTGCTGCACTCGAGCGGCCCCAGCGGTGTGAAAGGCTCGGTGCCGCAGCTCAGTCTGCAGTCCACCTACTACCCAGAGACGCGCCACTACTCGACGCTGCCCCACCAGCGGCCGCCGTCGACCAAGCCGCTCTCCAGCTTCGGCCGGCTGGCCAGCCCGCCGCCGCCGTCCATACCGGAGGCGACGCTCGAGCACCGCGGTCACCTGGTGTAGCCGCCACATCACGTGATCTGCTCTCGGCTGTGATACACGGACGCGTGCGGGCGAACGGCCCCGACCGGTAGGCAGTGCCTCCGGACACCAGTGACGCCGTGGTGGACCAATGCACTCACTCGGGCCGCCCAGCGTCCCGTGCCCCCCCCCCCCCCTCCCCTCCGACCCCACGCGCGCGGAGACCGAGAACGACCGGTGGTTGTGCTGGGCTCCATTCGTGGGGTTTCCTAGCTGGACTCGTCGCCACCGCGCTCGGCGTGGTATGCTGCGGCGACCTCCGACGATGGTCGCCCGCCGCTGTTGATTCGTGTCAGTAGGCCGCGTGTTCGCTGTTAGCTGCCGCCGCTCGCCGTCAGCCGTCACCCGCCCGCTCAGCCACTCATCGTGTATGTAAACTCACCTCACTCATCAGCGCTCTAGTCAGCGGCGCGCACGCGGCGACGGGCCGCCTCCGCGGCAGGCGGCGGGTCTCCCCACCGCCGTCACACTTCCACCATAGCGTCTGTGTGCGCATGCGTCGTACTGCTTTGTAATCGCGATGTGTTTGTACGGAGAAAATACAAAATGCTGATTGTTGCCTGGTCCGCGCAAATTCGGTATGGTGCGCGGCAGCTGTCGGAGATTAGATGAAGCGATGCAGCCGCTTCATCTCATTCCTGTTCGCTGCGCTGCATTTCGCCGCGTCGCAGCTGTTGTGGGGAACGTTCACACGTCGTGCTGTGGAGGTATATTGGCACTCAAGTGTGGTCACGAGTTGTGCTTTCAATGCCACATAGTTGGTTGTGATGACGTTGTCGCAAACACCGTCATCACCATGAACTTGGTCTCAAGCCAGTTGCTCGTCAAGTGATTGCTTTCATCGATAACTGTGGTTTTAACTCTCAAACCGCAACCACGCATGGTCCTTCACTAACCAGGTGCAGCGATACCAACACCAATGGTGCTGATAGCAGGGGCGCAGCTAGAACTAGGGGAGGGACACCTATTGGCTCAATGAACACGTCCAGCATCGCCACTGTCATTTCTCGGCGAGCTTGAAGTACTGCAAATAAGCGCTGCAGTGGCAATTTTGCACAGCCAGTTGGACAGCACCTCCACGTCATACAAACGTTCCATGACAGGACCAAACAACGACCTATTGAAGATCATATGTGCCAACTAAAGAACTTGTGCGGTCTAGATCAATGTTTCACTAAAAAATATAACAACAGCTATGAAAAACTCATTTCAGCGTTTCTAATGTTGGCTTCAATATAATCAAACGTAGAACATTTCCTTCAAGGAGCAGAAGCCAGAAAAGTTACCGGATAGTGCCATTTTGCTTGTATCCGTCAAGGTTTGTCTCACATTTGAATATAAAGAAGCAAGCATGAGATAATGACGAAATAAGCTCACTCACATTTAATGGTATGGTTTTAAGTGGAAAAGACGGCTCCAGGCAAAAGACCCAGTTCCTTTATTTAGCAAAATGCTCCTCAATGCGCCATCGGTTAATTGCGTCATCGTGCATTACACTACATTTATTGAGAGTCAATTGACGACCGTTGTGTTTGGAAATCGTGCTTACAAACGCCAGATACGAACAACTCGACAATTATATTTGGCACGACCTCGATTGACGTATGACCAATGGAACGACAGGACTTGAATGATGTCATTATGGCGTCATGGATACCTGGACAACATTGAAATGGTATGCACGAGGCAGTCTGCACATTTTCGTGGGCGAGTAGCTAAAAAACTAACGGGGTTTATGTGTTACGAAGGCAGGGCTGTGAACTGCGCTGAACTATCTTCGTAATAGCTATTGCAGTTTAAATCCACACATGAATGCTGAACACTCCTTTAAGTCAACGAACTAAAGGAAGCCGGCGTGAAATAACCGCGTGGAATAAACTGCCGGCGCCAGCCATTTTACAGTGATTCAGCGGACTCTTTCCAAACCGATAGAGCTCAGAAGCTTGGTTAGAGGGTTTTTTGGCCTCTGCATAGACATTGAGGACCCCGCGGACGTTGACTGTAGGTCGGAGGGTGGTTCGGTGTTAACATGGCCAGCCCATATCTGTATGAGAACAGCTTTCTGTCGAAATGATAGCAAAAATATGAAATAACATTGATTTGAATATGTGCACTCACAAGTCTTAAAAGCAAAAACCGATGCCCGGCGTTGTAGTCTCCGTAGGCCGCAGGACGTCGGCCTCGCGGCCAGTGAGCGGACGATAATGATGACGCATCTGGTAGTAATACCCTGGAAACGCTTAGGATATCAATTTGAACGTTTAGGAGGTTGTCCAGCAGATATTTTATCCGGACAGTTCTTAAGAAGATTGAGGGGAATAGATTAGCATTTAAAGCACTGCGAACGGCTCATACAATCTGGTGGCGGGACTGGAGGAGTAAAAATAGAAACTCTATTTTTGGTGTTACTGTAACTGATAAAGCGCATGCTGTACATTTGAAGATATTAAAGCAGGCATCGGATATGGTAAAACAACCCCACATATAACTGTTGGTGTACTTTTTACGTAGAAGAGATTACTCTAGATAGCACAATTCTCTGTTTAGTAAATATGCCCCTCGATGCGTCACGGTTTGATTACGTCATCATTCGTTGCACAACAGTGATTAAGAGCCAGTTGACTGCCGTTATATCTGGAAATCGCATTCACGAACGCCATATATGAACGCCTCGCCAATTTCGTTCTCGGCTTTGATCGCCTCATGGCGTATAAAATGACAGCATTTGAAACACAATATTATGGCGTCATGAATACCAAGGTGACCTTGAAATACTGTCCCTGATATATATTTTCCCATTTTCGCGGGCATGTAGCTCAGAAACTACAGGGATGTAGGTCTTTAGAAGAACAAAACTGTGAACAACACCGGAAGGCTTGAAGACGGCTATTTCAGCTCAAAACACCATATAAATGTGGGACACTTCTTTCAATCTGTTCAGCGGACAACCTTAAGGTAATGCGGGTGAAAATATACGCCCTCACTTCATTAAAGGATGGTGTGACTTATCAGCTTTACAGGTCGTTTCAACAAAAGAATAGACGTCCATGGGCTGGTCTTTTCTCACTGTTCACCTCATTTCGGTCCACTCTATTCAACGCTCCTGAGAACCCTTAACTTTTTATGGGCAGGGGATCCTGCGAGTAGAACACTAGGGGCACATTTTCTTTTCCGGGCAAAGGCTGAAGGTCCGTTCCGTCCCAGCATGGGGTGCCTACCGGCTATCATTCTGGCGACACGGGAGCGGGTCTCCTGGCCAGTCCACGGGCCCTTAAATAGATGCATCATTGATTAGTCCTCTCCCTGACGCGGGAGGCAGTCTCACCCGGGGCGTTGGTCCCAGATTGGCGCAGAAACCCTGATTGACGCAGACAGATTCCTCATTGCTGCAGGTGGTCCAACCAGTGATAAAGAGACCCAAGTTCGGCCCAACAAGTCCTTAGATGGAATGCGGTGGAGACCCTTCCCATTCCATACGGGAGGCCTTGATTGGTACAGGACCTTTTCATTCTTTCAGTGTCTCACTGTGGACTCCCATCATAACCTCGTATGTTTCGGATTCAGACCAACGCAGAGGCCTTCTGGCAGTCGGGGTCCAGTCTCCTTCCCTGTACAGCAAGTGTTTCCGTGGTAAGCTCGGAATTCCTTACCGACACAGAACCCTCTTTGAGGCACTGCAGACACCTGACTGACACAGGACCCTGTATTGTTTCAGGGGCCCCTACCAATGCATATCGGGGGTCTGGCCTCGTCCCTGGTCGACTCGAGGCTCTTTCCAATACAGGACCCCTTGTTTGGCACTGTGGATCCCTGGCCGACACAGGGAGCACCTCATTGACCCAAGGGCCGCGACCAAAGTAAATCGCGTGCCCCACACTTTCCTCAGTTTGCAGGGGCGCCGCCACGGAGTTTGAGCTGGGGAGGGATGGGATTTTCCAGGAGGACTGCAGGGCAATATGGTACCTCCTCACGGGGGATTCCAGGGTAAAGTCGCAGGCTCTCGCTGTACTCAAACAGGCATCCTGTTCCAGAAAAGGGCACCCTGACCGATGTAAGTGCTTCCGAATTAAGAACAGGATGCCTTCGATTCATGAAGGGCCTCCAAATCTAGCCAAGGGGCCTCCGTTACACCAAAACCAGGCATGCTAGCCCGGAACCGCGGTAATCTGATACATGAAAGGGGCTTCCTATTCTAGAAATGACGCCTCCTGGATATATAGGGTGCCTCCTAACCCAGGACAGGGGTCGCCTAATTCGTAGTGGGCAAAACATCCTCTTGTTCCCTGACTCTTTTTTTTGCCTTTTTAACTTGTTTTTGAAATTTTGCCTTTGACGTTTCGGCTGCCAAAGTGAGCAATACTTTTGGAACGCGGTGGGTTTACTCAAACTTTTGTGCTGAAATGCTTCGGTTTAATAAGGCTGAAATGCAAATTTTTAACGTGCGTCCACTAAATAATGACCAAGTATAAATTCTGAGACATCACAAATCAGACATGTTCGTTGTGGGAGTGATGCCAGGCTTTCAAAGGTTCCCCACATGCATTGACTTGGTACCTGTACTGTAATACTTTGGCGACACGCCACTGCATAATGCAGGATCAGCAACGGTACCCAAATACATTTCTCCACAGCTGAGTGCATGCTCCTTGGTAAAAATGAAGTCCTAGATTAGTACTATCATCTTAAAACACACTTAATCCTGTCAGATAATACATGTTGGGTGCTTGGATGATTGCGTTAAATGTAAGTGATCAGACAAGAGGCTCCGACCAATCATGCATTGCCGATTATCTACCACCGTGGCTATGGTGTTCTGCTTTAATTCATACATTTCTTGATAGACCTCTGAGCAGATGCAATCTGTAGTTCCCTGTCCGAGAGCTTCGTGTGGCCAGGCCAATAATCGAGCGCGCCATGCCAGGTCGAAGGCTCATTTCTACCAGCAACCAAACTATTTCAGCTGCACATGCCATGAGTTACCAAGCCATAACATCTAAACGACATAGGCGCATTCCCTTTCCATTTGGAATATATTGGCGTGTAATCCATGCTTCGAGCAAATTCTGGCGACGCGGGATTCTATAGATGCACCAGTGTCGTTCGTCTCCGCAGATCGCAATGGGCTGATAAATCGGCGGCCGACCGCAGCCAGACACAGCGCCCTGAACCAGCCTGGATTGTTCCTAGAACATAGACAGAAATCAGTCACAAACGAACGCAAATTTCGCTTTGTAAACGTCTTGTGCGTTATTCACATGATGTGGATAGTTGTGTTTGCAGTGTTCAATAAGTTATTGCTCTATTCGATCCAAATAAGATGGGTAACGCAGCCATGTCGCCCTAGCAGGCAGAATATATGCTGTACAGTCATCCAAAAAAGCACTTATTCGGCAACCACACGGCGTAGCGACACTTTAGCGGTGTCCAAACATGCGCAAGGAATGCTTTAGAGGCTGCTTATAAATGTGGTGTGATTGCACGAAACGCCATGGATATATTCGCGAGAGATCTCAGGGTGATGGATCAGATCGACGAAGCCTTATCAGGGTGGAGCGTAA